TACTCCACCTTCCTCTGGGCTGGAGGTGCTCCTTACTCAGTACTCCACCTTACTCTGTGCTGGAGGTGCTCCTGAAGGGAGGAGGGAAAAACAAAGACCAGATAATCCAAAACCAAGCTTGGGAATGGCACTTGATAGCTATGGATCATAAGTGATGATTTTCCAAATGAGAAGAGACTGAAATGTAGGGCATTGGAGAACTGAGGGTGGGACTTAGAACACCCATTCCAAGGAGCACATGGGTGGCTCTGATTGTACTGTCTCCCTCTTCCTAAATACTGCCCACCCCTGGCAGCAGGCCCCTCACCTTCCTTGGGCAGCACAGAGCAGTAGTGGATTCTTTCAGGGGTCCAAACCCCTAGACGCTCTTCCAAGTGGCCTCACTAAAGGAAGAAACCACCCCTCTGCTCATAGTACTTCTGAAACCAAATGTGTGGATTTTCTACACTGACCATTTGCTTATTCTCAGTTGAAGCCAGCTGGGTGTCCTACAGTTATATTCAGTCCTGAGACTTCCCAGAGTGAGTGCAGGCCCCACAGATAAGGACTCTGCACGAGACTGCCCCCACTTCAGATGCTGGTCAGAAGTCCAGGGGCACCCACACTTCTGTCCAGCCCAACTATGAAGTCAGAGTTGTCACAGTGCTCAGGGTTGGCAACTTGCTGTAATGGCTGATAGAACTCAGGGAAACGTTGCACTTACTATTACTCATTTATTATAAAGGATAACATAAGGGATTCAAATGAACAGACAGATGAGGTCCATTAGGGCAGCTGGAAAGAGGGCCAGAGCTTCTGCCCCCATAGAGTTGGGGTATGCTCCACCTCTCAGCACCCACAGGGGCTCATCAAATGGGAAGCTCGCTGAGCCCTTTTGTTTATGTTCTTTAGGGAGGTCCCATTACATGGGCATGAAGGATTAGAACACTGGGCTACTGGTGAAGCTCAACCTCCAGCCTCTCTCCCTTCCCCAGAGGTTGGCAGCAGTGGTGCTGAAAGTGCCAGCCCTTTAATCATGCCTCAGTCTTTGCCTACCTCCCATCCTGGCTTTATCCAGAGATCCTAACCACTAGGCAGCTCATTAGTGGACAAAAAGACACTCATCATTGTCATGCTGTCAGAAACCAGACACTAAGACCAAGTGTTACACCAGAACATGCCCCCGTCACTCCTGCACTCAGGGGTCTCAGGGCTGAGAGCTCGCTCTCAGGAGCCTGGTGCAGAAACCAAATATATATTAATACTTCTTTTTATGTCACACTGACCTTTGGGATCTTGGCTTAGTTTGCTTAGAAGATGCAAAGGAAACCACAGTGGTTTGGGAATTAGAAGACTTAGAAACAGAATTATATGAAGTGACTTATCCGCTTCCTGACATAAAGTCCCTTGGGAGGGCAGTGCAGGAGGATTGCTTGAGGGCATGAATTTGAGACCAGCAGGGGATAATATCCACGAAACAGGCGGGGCGTGGTGGCTCAGGCCTGTTGTCCTAGCACTGTGGGAGGCCGAGGCGGGTGGATCACCTGTGCTCAGAGGTTAGAGACCAGCTGAAGACCCCCCTGAGCCAGATGAGCCAGAGTGAGACCCCATCTCTACAACAACAACAGGACAAGGAGACAGCCGGAACCTTGTGATCCCAGCTCCATGGGGGGCAAGAAAACACTACAGGAGGAAGAAATAATAAAAAAAAAAAAAATTAAAAAAAACTCTTCAAAGTAATAAGTTGAAATAAAAAAATTAAAAAAAAAAATAAAGAAAGAAACAGCCAGGGTTCAGTGCCTACCGCTCAGTGGTTAGGGCACCAGCCACATATACCAAGGATGGCAGGTACAGACCAAGCCCAGGCCTGCTAAACAACAATGAAAACTGCAACAAAAAAATAGCTGGGCATTGTGGCAGGTGCATGTGGTCCCAGCTACTTGGGAGGCTGAGGCAAGAGAATCGCTTAAGCCCAAGAGTTTGAGGTTGCTGTGAGCTGTGACACCATAGTACTCTACTGAGGGCAACATAGTGAGACTCTGTCTCAAAAAAAAACAAAGGCAGTGCTTGCTTTGGCAGCACATATACTAAAATTGGAACAATACAGAGGAGATTAGCATGGCCCCTGTGCAAGAATGACACGCAAATTTGTGAAGCGTTCCATATTTTTAAAAAAACCACAAAAACCACAAAGGCTTGGCGCCCGTAGCACAGTGGTTACAGCGCCAGCCACATGCACCAAGCCTGGCCTGGGCCAGCTAAACAACAATGACAACTACAACAAAAACAAAAAAAGTAGCTGGGCGTTGTGGTGGGTGCCTATAAATCCCAGCTACCTGGGAGGATGAGGCAAGAGAATCGCTTAAGCCCAAGAATTTAAGGTTTCTGTGAGCTGTGATGCCATGATACTCTACCAAGGGCAACATAGTAAGACTCTGTCTCAAAAATAAATAAACAAAAATAGCCAGGCTGGTTCATGCCAGCACTCTGGGAGGCTGAGGTGGGTGGATTGCTTGAATTTAGGAGGTCAAGATCAGCCTGAGCAAGAATGAGAACTATCTCTACTAACAACAAAAAAACTAGCTGGGCGTTGTGGCAGGTGCCTGTAGTTCCAGCTACTTGGGAGGCTTAGGCAAGAGGATCGCTTGAGCCCAGGAGTTTGAAGTTGCTGTGAGCTGTGATGACTACACGGCACTTGAATAACGAGGGTGACAAAGTGAGACTCTGTCTCAAAAAAAAAAAAGCCAGGATCAGTGGCTCACCTGTGACCCTAACATTCTGGGAGTCTGAGGCAGATAGATTGCTTGAACTCACAAGTTCAAGACCAGCCTGAGCAAAGAGCTAGACCCTGTCTCTAAAAATTGCCAGACATTGTGGCCAGTGCCAGTAATCCCAGCTACTTAGGAGACTCGTCTCCACAAAAAAAAAAGAAAAGAAAAGAAAAAAAAATTCCTGCCAACAGCTTTGGTATTGAATGTAATAATCCTAGAGGAGCCCACTCCATGCAAGGCAGCCCACTTTCTGATGACTTTGATACTAATACCATCCTTCTTGTGTTAATATAAAAACAGCTTACCTGGAACGTCTACTTGTTGGTTCTAGTTGGACCGTCTAGTCATCCAAAATGACTTGCCCCTTCTAACTTTTTGAGCCTCAATTTCCTCACTTGGATAGGATGATTTTGGTGATGTTTCCAATGTGATGTCCTCAGGTATCCCCACCACCCACGGAGAATCGGGTGGAGGGAATCACATCCATGAGAACCTCCTGGGCCCAAGGCTCTTCTTGTACTGGGTAGAGAAGGTATGTTTTTCCTTTGCTTCAGCCTCCTGGTCTTTATCCCCAGGGCTGCTACCCTGGAAAAGGAAGTGACTGGGTTGCGAGAGAAGATCCATCACCTGGACGACATGCTTAAGAGCCAGCAGCGGAAAGTACGACAGATGATAGAGCAGGTATGGAGGGCTGGGTCTTAACCCACCCTGGGTGTCACCCCAAGTTCATGCTTTTGTTATTTATTCTCCAAGAGAACTTCACTTATATTCTTGTGTTTCCCATGAAACATTTATAAGTTTAGGTTATTGGGACTTGGTTTTCTTGCTTTTTTCTCCATTGCCCTGGGGTAAAGTACTGTGGCATCATAGCTCACAGCAACCTCAAACTCTTAGACTCAAGCTATTCTCTTGCCTTAGCTTCCAGGTAGCTGGGACCACAGGCGCCTGCCATAACACCAGCTATTTTTTTTTGTTGTTGTTTTGCAATTGTCATTGTTTAGCAGGTGAACCCACCAGCCTTGGTATATGTGGCTGGTGCACTAACCACTGAGCTAGGGGCTCTGAGCCTTAAATATTTCTTTTCTTTTTTTTGAGACAGATTCTTAGTCTGTCCCCCTGGGTAGAGTGCCGTAGTGTCATAGCTCCCAGCATCCTTAAACTCCTGGGTTCAAGTGATACTCTTGCTTCAGTCTCCTGGGACTACAGGCGCCAAGCCAGCTCAGCTGTTTTTAGGAACAGGGGTCTTACTCTTGCTCAGACTGGTCTTGAACTCCTGAGCTTAAGCAATTCACCTGCATCAGCCTCCCAGAGTGCTGGGATTACAGACATGAGCTACTGCTCCTGGCCTTTAAATATTTCTTTTTTTTTTTTTTTTCTTTTTTTTGCTTGCTA